TTCAGTTCTTTCAGCAGCGAGGCTTCACGTATCGCCGTAAATGGGGCGCCCTCCTCCTCTTGCAGTCTAATTTCTTTTAATGCAACACGTTGATGTGTTAAACTGAAAAGAAGAGTGAACAATTTTAATTTCAAAAGGAACAATCGAAGTAAGAAATATGTTAATAGAGAATGTACAATTTACATACTTAAGAATATGGAAGGTACTTAAGACTGAAGAAGAGAGTATAAACTTCCTTTTATCTGGTTTCTTAAAGAAGCATTAATTACGCTTGTCAAAAATCAACTACTTAATAGATATTTTCGAGAACGGATTCCGCAAGCGGCTATTTGATGTTCATCTCACGAGAGTTCATCTGGAGTGTTGATGAAATACGACCCGAGATTTCTTAGTAACGCTGAGTTTATTTCACCTTCTCATCATTTAAAGCACTGCGGCAATACAGGTCCAAAAGTGTGATGTTAAATCGTTTCGAATGTACTCCTTTCGCACAATTGCAGGTCAGCACTATTTTTTTAAGTACCGCTAGTTGCCGCTTAGCAAATTGAAGTAGCTCATCTGACCCCCTCTGGTTGACTCCCCGCAGTAGGACTTTCTTTGCCTGACAGGGCATTCGCCCAGCATTTGATGAGCCGATTAGAAGGTAATCTAATAAAGAGCGGTCTGTTGTTTGCCAGATAATCTAAAGGCTGTTCAATTCAGCTTGATTTAGTAACAGCCAGAGGCGACAAAGAGAGAGGACAGGCTCCCCATGACCAAATAAAATAAGAAAATTGAACTCGATTCTGATAATTTCAAATGAAATTCGGTTCGATTCCAAACCGATGCGCACTGGTTAGAGAGAGAATCCCTGTCGATAAACCCCACCTGTTCGAAGCCTAACCCCGAAAATAATTTTTTTCCAAAGGAAACCGATTTTAGGCAGTCAATGGCAAACATCCGATTTTCGAAAGTTTCCAAAATTGGGATGGTCAAGCTTAGAAAAAAGTTTAATAAGTTTAACTTTGGAAAATTTCGCTGTTCAAAATAGAAATCGAGTGTGGTCTATGTTTTAATTAAAAAATATAAAAAGAAAAGTTCCAAAACGTAAAACTTTACGAAATTGTTTTAATTCCATTTATTGGGAAATAATTATAGTTTTTCGCTGGTGCCTTAAATAGCCAAACAAATTATTTAAAAATTTTTTAATAAGCCTTTAAATAGACGGAAGAACTGGATTTGTTCTTTTCATAAGAAGAGACGAGATATCATTTTACAAGCCTCCAATCTAAATTGCGTTAGCTTTTCACTCCCTTCCAAGCTTCTGAACTGGCTGCAAGATGGCTGTGGATTTTAGAACTGAGCCCTACCATTCTGGCCGCAGTAAACTCTAGGATGTTTACTGAATATTCTCCACAGAGACCTAAGTGAATAATAAGCTACTGAACTGATGCGACGCCACCCAGTTTAACGCATATTCCGAACTCTGCTGCTTTGAAAACAAATTCTCTACAAGGATCCTTCAGTGAATTCCATGTAAGAAATGCTCAGACCTGGACTCCAGGTCGCCTGCTATTTTTATCGAATGAGCTGCCCGATAACATAATGGTTCCACCCCATATGGGGTATTGAAAGCAGCGGAACCTAAAGCTAACTTGCATGGCACTGCAAGTGACCAAAGTGGCCTAAGTGTGTTGCCATGACTTAACGACTGTAGCATTCAGTGTACTTCTATCGTACAAAAGAAACCTTCCGATAAAAACCAACCAACTGTCATTCAAACACATAAAATTTGGGCGAAAATCTCGTCCTTTGAAGGATGCATTCCACACGCGATATATTTTACTACAGTATCGTAATTTATTATGCCACTATGTAGAATTTAAGACACCTTCAACAGAATATTACTACGTCAACCTAAATATGTACATACATAGCTACACGCTACGATGGAGCAGAAAGGAATTTCGTGAACATAAAAGCCAAAGAATTTCACACAAATTACATTTGAATAGATACTCTCTGAAGCAAAATTAAGCTACGCACCACAAAAACCACACAGTAAATGATTTTGGCTACAGAGCAGACGCAGGGAATACTGAAAGTAGCAGAAAATAGGTGCAACATTGTAGCAAATATTTAATGACAGATAGGGAAAGCACACAGACGCAACTGGCAAGAAGTAAGGCAGCAGACACAGCAATCACAAGGACGAAATGTCAGGCACAACTGAGGAGACAACAAATACCGACATATGTATGTATGTACGTAAATATACATTTTTGTAGGGGCATACATTTACGCATACCAGTACTCGCATAAAGCAGCCAGCCAACCATTGAATGGCACGCAAATGTTTATTAAAGCTGAAAAGCACTGAAATAAGGACATACGCGCGCCCCTCACTTTGCATTTCAATGCGCAGCCATATTTATGCGAAGCACCAACAACAAATAGATACTACAAGAAATACGCACATAAAATAGCTACTAGAAAAGCTACGCGCTACTATTTACGACATTTACAACCGTTAAAGTTGCAAAAGTTGAACGTACGTAAATGCATTTAAGTAGGACGCTGAAAGAGAACGACAAGTTAGGCAGGCTGACGTTTAAATTCTCAACACAAATGGGTTTTTGTCGCTTTATGAAGGATCCATACATTAAGTGTTATCACGTGGAGTATTTAAGCATGCTGACGAGACAGACGTCTGTGCGTCTATCGACTTGGCTGCGTTCGTTGGCTGTGTTATAGCGTTCTTCAAGGCTTATTTGTCTCCATTGGCCTTCAATTCTTTACATTTGCTTCAATGCGACGTTTGGTCGTGTCTAAGGTGTCAAATTAGGTTAAATTATATGACAGAGGGACAGTGTGGAACGCACTCTATGGATATAAAAGTAGCGGAATGTTTGTAAATTTATGCGGCAAGCTCTGTGAGGTAAATCCAAACTTGCAACGTAAATTTTTGATTTAAAAAATAGTAAATTACTTGTATGTGCCAGCGGAGGTCAACAGTGGGAGTTCTGATTACCTTTTTCAAATTCTAGGGAAACTTTTCAATTAAAAAATTTTAGATGTCTTTACAAGAAAGTTCAGCCATCGAGTCTGACCCAACTAGTCCAACGACAGGGAACTTTTAGGCTTACTCATAGCGATAAACTGTCGGTGCCTGCTTATTTGGCGAGTGCACAAATGGGTGTCTACTTTGCATTGCGATTCGAAAAGCAAATCACTCAGATTCGAATGCTTGGCACTTTGAATTTGTATTAGTCCGTGCCGCCTTTCGAATGGCATTGAGTTTCGAATCGCAATACAGGGTAGCTCCCGTGAATTTTTAAGACAATTAGGTGTCTTGAAGAAGAATATTTTTTTAATGTAATTCATTATTTAGAAATTTATTTCATGTATTCTTTTTGTTTTATTTAATTGTATTTCATCTTTCTTTTTTAATTTTTTTTTAATTAATTTTTTTAACTTTTATAAACTTATTTTATCTTTTCTTTGTTTTTTATTTAGTTTTATTTTAGTTTTTTTGATTTTATTGTTTAAAAAAGAAAAAAAAAAATATATTTTTTTAATTTAATTTGCATATACCTATTTTATTTATTTCTCCTTTTTAATTTTTTTTTTTAAATAAATTCTAATTTTTAGCGTATATAATTTTTAAAAGAAATATTATATTTTTTGCTTTTTTAATGAGTTTTTTTTTTAATTATTAGATTTTGTTGTTTTGAAAAGTAAAATATTATTTTTTAACTTAATTAAATTTTTATAAAGTCTCAGACAATGAAAATAGACAAGGCCCGATAATTGCAACTCATGCCGATCTCTGCACCTTGCTTGTCAATGTCAGGTATGTTCTGTGACAAATTTCCATTTGAAGCTTGTAGCGGGCTACCAGGTTACTGTGAGGAAGAAGGCTAGTCATCTTCGAAAGCTATAATTACTGAGGGGGAAAACTCAGAACGCCTTATGACCTTAGACAAACTATGCTATCCTTTCGATAGGAAGAATATTATCCTCTTTAGTTTAAAACTATGTATTACGGTTTCGTGCGACCGCAGAGTCGGAGTGCCAGTTCAGCCTTGGACAGACACAGATTACTGTATTTTAAATCGTTTATAGTCGCTAGGATTTATGAAGGAATAGTATGTATCAAGTTTCTTAAAAAATTCCACTATTTTGAGCATTTTGGCCGAATTTATAAAAGGTGTCATCACATCTCCTACATTTATGAACCTTTTTCCATTTTGTCATAACATTTTTTGAAGAACAAGAATTGTGATATTTTTACCTATTTATTTCAACGCAGCTCAGCTCGGCCTACTTTGTTTGGAGAAGTATAACTGATATTTTTTGTATGTAGCGTGGGCACTCTAATGTACATATAAGCATACGAATGTGCATCAGTATGTATGCCGATATATTTTCCTGTGTATATTTTAAAACGAAAGTCTGCAATTACCAAAGTTCCGATACGATTTTAATTTTGTAGCCACAATAGTTAAGGATATTAAATAAATTTACTCAATGTGCCGCAGAGCATAGCAAATGCTTAAAGTTTACTAATCAGTACATATACCTGTATGTGAAAATAGTTTCGTATTTATAAATATGTACATGTACACGTGGACATACATATAAGTATGTGTCTACTTGCACAGGTGCAAGGATTAAGGTCGCAGATAACAGCTGTTGTTGCCAGAGCTCAGCGTAGGACAAATATTGAAAAACTTTGGCAGTTTGCATATGCTGTTGCTAATTTTAGCAAGTTTGGTAATAGATGCTATACTCTTATATATGTAAACGAGTAAAGCTAGTTCATACTTTAGTGTGCTTGATAAGCATTTTAATGCTTTCACATGAATTTGCAACAAGCGATGCATTTATGTATGTACATAGTTTGTTCAATGCT